CGCCGGCGCCGTCGTCAAAACGGGCACCACCGATGGCGTCGATTTCGTCAAAGAAGATAATGCAGGCCTTCTTCGTCCGCGCCATCTCGAAAAGCTCGCGCACCATTCTCGCACCCTCACCGACGTACTTCTGAACCAGTTCACTGCCGATGACTCGGATGAAGGTGGCGTCCGTTCTGTTGGCGACGGCTCGGGCGCAGAGGGTCTTGCCGGTACCGGGGGGTCCGTACAGAAGGGCACCCTTCGGGGGGTCGATACCGAGGTTGACAAACCGCTCCGGCGAGAGGAGGGGCATCTCGACGACCTCGCGCAGCTTCTCAACCTGCTCCTTTGATCCACCAACATCTCCGTATGTAACATCAGGCTTCTCCTCGACCGTCATCATCGTAACGCTGGCATCGATCTTGGGCGGGAGCGGCAGAAGGATCTGGTACTTGTTCCGGTCGACACCGACTCGCATGCCCTCCTCAATATCCGTGGGGCTCACTCTCTCGCCCAGCTGGACGACGAACTTGGCGATCTGCTTGACGTTGATGACATATTTGCTCTTGGAGTCGTCCTTCTCGTCGGGGATAATCTTCGTACACCGCGCGACCTGAAGAGGCTGTTCTTCCGACATGCGTTGCCGGTCTGCTGCTACGTCCCAGAGGTGAGGAGGGGCAAGACCCGTGTCGGATTCCTAGTCAAGTCAGATCGAGTTTTATCCACCCGGAACGGCACAGCTACCTTCACACCAATCTTCTCGTCTACGCTTGTTTGCTTCTCCTTGATCTGTTGCTCGAGCTTCTTGATGGCAGCACCGTACGGAGCGGCGCCATAAGTCTTCAGCACTTGGATATCTCTGAGGAGTGTTAGTCGACAATCCCGCGCAACCCGAGCCCGATGGAACAACGAACTCATCGGTCAATGGTGTGATCTTCTTCTCTTCGACCTCATCGTCGGCGTAGGTCTTCTGGTATTTCTCCCAGTTCTGGCCGGTAGCGGAAGGCTAATGCTGGGGTTAGTACCCGCCGTCGGTAGCCATGCGTGCAGGGTCCATACCATGATGTAGGATGAGGACTCAACGTCCTACTGCCGGTTCTTTGTGTGGGGTGGGTTCTTTTGGGTGTTTTCGGGTTGATAGCTGTTTCGATGTGAAATCGTGGGGTCTCGAGGAAGTGGTCGCGTTGGTCGTCAATGAGTACAGAGGTATGCTGCTGGGGGTGGGTTCAAGGTGGTGATGGAAGACGGTTCCGTAATCCAGGTTGCCTTGAGCTCCAAAGCACGGACCACAAATGCGAGGCTGCTGTGGAGCTAGGCTGGTTGGGGGAAAATGCAAACAGAGTACCGGGGCAGGAACAACCTGGCGCCCGCTAAAAAATATCCCACCGCTGGGGGGGTTGCTACCTGAGAGAAAGTGGGCGATCGCAAAAGAAGGCGACAGCGGGACAGGACTACGAAGATACCGATACCTTCCCACCCTGTGTTCAGCTTGCTCTTCCGACCTCGACATCCTCAAAAACAAGCACCACACAAGCCAGAATCGTCAACATGGCCACAACTGCACCACCTCCGGCCGCGGGAGGCTCTGGAAATGCCACCTTCAAGGTACGACCTGCGCACCGCCCATGACGAAGCTTCAGGAGCTATTGCTAATAGCCGTATAGGACAAGGAGAAGCCTGTCGCTGTCCGCTCTTCCAACATTGTTGCTGCCAGAGGTGAGCAATGCGGTCCCCTCTCGAGCTTCACAAACCAGAAGCTAACTTCCCACTAGCCGTCGCCGATGCCATTCGAACCTCCTTGGGCCCCCGCGGCATGGACAAGATGATTCGTAGCGGAAAGGGCGAGACTATCATTACCAACGACGGAAACACGATGCTCAAGAGCATGTCCGTCATGCACCCGACAGCGAAGATGTTGGTTAATCTCTCGGCGGCACAGGATGTGGAGGCGGGAGATGGCACAACATCCGTGGTCGTCATCTGCGGTAGCTTGTTGGGTGCTGCAGACAGGCTCTTGTCAAAAGGAATCCACCCTTCCGTTATTTCAGAGGCTTTCCAGAGAGCTGCTGCCGCAGCCGTCGAGATTCTCCACGGCATGTCACAACCCATCTCTCTCAACGACACAGCATCCCTGCTTCAGGCAGCCAACACATCCCTTTCCTCGAAGATCGTGTCGCAATACTCCAACATCCTCGGCCCCATGGCTGTCAACTCCGTCGTGAAAACCATCGACCTCAAGACGGCAGACAACGTCGACCTGAAGAACATCCGGATCGTCAAGAAGGTTGGCGGAACTATCGAGGACAGTGAGCTGTCGGATGGTTTGATCCTGACGCAGCCTGTCCTCAAGGGTGCGGGTGGTCCTGCGAGAATCGAGAAGGCGAGAATCGGTTTGATCCAGTTCCAGCTCAGCCCTCCCAAGCCCGATGTACGTTTTCCCCCCTCCGATGCCCCTTTTCGCAGCTGCTGACCAATCAAGATGGAAAACACCATCCAGGTGAATGACTACAGGCAGATGGACAAGATCGTGAAGGAAGAGCGTCTTTACCTCCTCAACATGGTCAAGAAGATCAAGAAGGCCAAGTGCAATGTCCTTTTCATCCAGAAGTCCATCCTCCGCGATGCTGTCAACGACCTGTCTCTCCACTTCCTTGCCAAGCTTGGCATTCTCGCCGTCAAGGATATCGAGCGCGACGAGATTGAGTTCATCTGCAAGTCCACCGGCTGCAAGCCGATTGCAGACGTCGATTCCTTCACGGAGGACAAGCTCGGATCGGCCGACCTCGTCGAGGAGATCCAGTCCAACGGAGCTCGCATGGTGAAGGTTACGGGCGCCAAGGCGACTGGCAAGACCGTGTCTGTCGTCGTTCGTGGCGCTAACTCCCTCATTCTTGATGAGGCGGAGCGCAGTTTGCACGATGCCCACTGCGTCGTCCGCTGCTTGGTGAAGAAGAAGGCTCTGATTGCCGGTGGTGGTGCTGCCGAGATCGAGATCGCGTCCCAGCTCTCCAAGCGGGCTCGTGAGCTCACCGGCACTGAGGCCATCTGCTGGAAGGCTTTTGCCGATGCTATGGAGGTCATTCCTACCACACTGGCTGAGAACGCCGGTCTCAACAGTATCAAGGTTGTGACCGAGCTTCGCCACAGGCACGAGCTTGGTGAGAAGAATGCGGGTGTCAGTATCAAGTCTGGCGGCGTCAACACCAACATCTCCAAGGAGAACGTGCTGCAGCCCCTGTTGGTAAGCACCAGCGCCATCGAGTTGGCCGCTGAGACGGTGAAGATGATCCTCAGAATAGACGACATCGCCCTCACGAGATAAAGGGGAGGACATGAGCCACGAAATGAAAACAAAAGTAAAAGGGGAAATCCAGGCTTGATGATCATGTACATTACGGCTACCTTGGCTTGATTGCGGTGTAGACGTGGGCCTGGAATTGAGGCGTCAAAACTATTAGAAGCTGAGAGAGCAATTGATCACAACAAGATACCTTGATGACACCTCAACTTTGGTTCCAAATCGTTTCTTGTCGTCTGTGGCTGTCATTCCTGTGCAACCCGTATGTGATAGGCAATGCTGTGATCCTATGTCATTCGACGTCTTGGGCCGAAAGGTGCCTCGGTCATCATACCTCACTTGCAGGCTTGCAAACATTGTGGCCATTCGGTGGCGCTAATTTCTTTCATCAATCGTATTAGGGAAGGGCCATTCATTCCAACCCTTTGTCGCTAGGGAAAAAGGAGGTCGAATAAGGAAACATAATAAAAAGGGTGATGTCGCATTATAACATGTGCCATCCCATTTCCTATCAGCGGCGTCGTATACTGCCTCGATTCTGAGTTTACTCGCGTATATTGTTAACCATTTACAAGAGGTCTATCACCTATGACGTATGACTGAGGAAGAAAACATCACAATCGACAAGCTGAGCTCACCTATCGGTTTGTGTACGGTGGCCGACCTCTAGGTTATGAGTCCTGCTCAGTCTGGAGTCACGGTGTCGACCTATCCCTTGAGCTTGTTGAAACGACGAGGGACGCTTGACACATTCTCGCTGGCAGTGAAAGGAACCAATGAGGCTGACGGAGGGAAGACCACTCTGCGAGACTGTCGCTGGTTACAATGTGAAGATTTAGGATATATGTATCAAGTCCATCTCGAGGTTGCGTACAGGTCGGATGAAGTCATACACCTGTGCCTCTTTCCACACACCAAACGGTTTCACCGTACACGATATTATATAAGGCGACCGATGCCTCATGTTCCTGTATCATCGGCAGGCATGCTACTTGTATTGTTGTCTCAATGTTCCCATGTACCGACCCGACGTAAATACTCTTTCTCGGACAATACCTGTATCCCTGGCGTCGCAACAAGCTATAAAATATGCAAAGGTCGAATAGACATGAACCGTACGGGCAGATACCTCTCCATAGGTACGACAATGGCACTACGGCTGTCACTTTCCGTCACTTTACTAAAGCGTTCGTATATGATAATGGCGTCTCGGATATACTGCTTGACAAGTCAAAGTTACGGGCATTGGACTAATTTCTGTGCTGAGTCCACACGGCATGTGTGGGCTTGATTCGGCCTAGAGTATGAGTTTACAGGGCAGTGTTGCAGGAAATTTGCCCCCATAGGACTAAAGACTTACAATGAAGCTTCCCTCCTACATACAAGAATCGACTCGGTTTAACACAACATTTTGCCGTCTGCATTATGTATAGTAATCTAGGAGTGAGCCACACAGTATATAGCACGGTTCTTAGGTATACATAGCATGCCATCGAGATATAAAAAGATAAAAAAAGATCGAGTATGAAAGTTCGACGGCGTTGAGGTACATGGCTAGAACAGGCGGGAAGAGGGGGTTCAAAATTTTCCAACGATAAGCATCACTTCACGTGTAGAAGAAGGCTTTCAAAACGTCAGACAATAAGTCAATACTTCATTGTTGAAACCACAAACTGCAAAAAGAAAGAAAAAATAGGATGTGTCAATCGCGGACGGGAATTGAGCCCGACGTGGCTGGTTTTTGTTAGTTGAAGTGTTCGTGATGCATCACGAGTCGGGAATGCGCTTACGGGTCGAACCCACAACCTTGAGATTAAGAGTCTCACGCTCTACCGATTGAGCTAGCCGGGCAGGCTATTGAGGTTGGTGATATAATCACACGATGAGCCGCAATATGTTGGAAGATGGTGAGTGGGTTATTGTGTGAAAAGACCCAAGGGCACGGAAACCCGCAATATGGGGCCGGGCTATCCCTCCGCATCCCGGTGTTGATCATGGGCTCGACCGACTTAAAGCATGGATTAGCCTGATCCGGATCCGATCCCCTGGTAATCATTCAAGGGCCTTCGTCAGAAATAAACAAATGAAGTCCAAGTTATATAAGGGTTGGTAAATTACTGCTATGAACTACCAATATGTCCAAGCCCTATCCCGTTGACCTGCACAAAAGAATGAGGCCGAAGTCTTTCCTGTCTTGAGTTCCTTTCCCAACGCCAGAATGGTATATATATATATCGATTTCCATCGATTCGATCAAGAGATCAAGAAAGGGTGTACAAAGCCAGCTCAGCTGAATCCAAAGAAAAAGGGTAAAAGGGGGGTTTCTTTTCAGGAAAACATCGCATGCGTTCTAACATCTCAGCCACTCGCCACTTTCATAGTCATCGTATCAGTCGCGCCTTTTTCTATCTCGCTTGGCCAAAGGAGTACTGGTGTGGCGGCGGGCTCTTCACTGGCGCATCGGCGTAGGCCCCAGGAATCGGCACGGCGTCGTAGACCGGCTCGTCAGCAGCCATCGGCGCATGCTGCTGGGGCTGCTCCTGCGGTGATTGTTCTTGGTGCTGTGTCTGAGGCTGTTGCTGGAAAGGGAATGATGGAGCGGGGCCTTCTGGCGAAGTAGGCGTGAAGGAGCCTTGACCGGGCTTAGTCGCCGAGCGCGCCTTGGCCGGAGGAGCCTGGAGCTGGAAGGTGGGCTTAGGCTTGTTGAAGCTGGACTCGGGCTCGACAAAACGGGTTCCGGGGGTGAAGGGGGAGGCCTCCTCAATGCGAGACAAGTTGTCAAAAGTCTTGTCAGGGTGGCGAGGCGACAGGGCATACTGGGAGTACAGGCCGGGCGACTTGAGGCCGGGAGTGTTCGGGGCGGATTGGGTCCGGAGCTGGGCGAGGTAGAGATCGGAACGGGCGCGGTCGCGCATGTCCATGGACTTGTGGAGGCGGCGCTTGGTGTAGTATCGGTAGAAAACGATGCTGTAGAGCAAGACGCAGATGACATCGATGACGATTTCGATGACCATGCAGATGAGGGCCCAGTTCTGGAGTCGGCAGATGAGGGCGTAGTCGACCTTCTCGCCAAAGACCTCGGCGCGCTTGTTCTCCTTGCAAGACCAACCCCACATGTCCTTGCCGCCGCCATTGCTTCGGCTTGACTGGAAGAGACCGGCAGCGACAGCCCACAGAACCATGGAAAGAATAAACCAGCCGATAGCGAAGAGGGTGTAGTAGGTGGCGACTTTCTCAGCACGATGATGACCGCCGCGGCAGTAGGCGAGGAACACACCGATACAGACGACAAGAGAGATGGATGCCACTGTCCGTTGTTAGGGAGTGGAATCGAGTTTTCGAAGTGGTGTAAATACTTACTAGTAATAACCAGAACCTGGGGCCAGATGGCAGTGCCCTCAGCCCATGATGGGAGACCGCTTTGAGCAGGGAGGCGCTTGGTAGCGTTGAATATCTGGAAGGAAGCCGCAAGCATGGTGATGATGATCAAACTACAGCTGAAATTGACGCCACGAAGGGCGAATTTGGCCATGCGGACGCGGGTCTTGATTTTCTGTAGACATATTAGCAACGTATTGCTTAACAGGGAAGTGTGCCACATACCAGGTCGCGTGCTTGTTCCTTGTCAGTTGCCTCCTCGCGCTTCTCCAAAATATCTTCCTCTCGGAAGGTCGGGCTGAGCGGGTTCTCGATCTTCCTCGCCGGGGTCCCGGGAACCCTCATGGCGCTTTTAAGTGGTGATCGCGGAGTCATCGGGACGGCGACGGACTCGCGGTTGTTGCTGCTGTTGTTGATGTAACCGAACCCGATATCCCCAGGCTGAGACTGAGGCACTTCGGATCTGACGGGGTCGGCGAAGGGTGACCGAGTACCTTCCACAGGAGAGTGAACTGATGTGGCTTCCGCAAAGCGAGGCGTGCGGGGGGCTTCAGTGATGACTCGGACGACGACGAATCTGTGGATGCCGATCGAGTGGGAGCGAGGTTGAGAGCGGCAGGCCGCCTCTTGTCTTCTAACAACGGTATTAGCCCATAGTGCTGGTGGATTCTGGATTTGGGCAAAGACATACCTTGCGGAGACATGGCTGTGCTGTGTGGATGTGTCCCGAAAGACGAAAGAGAACAGTAAGAGATGTGTGTCCGGTATATAGGAAAGGCGCCCTCAGACTTTGGGTCGCTGACAGGAAGACCGACTCAGAACATGCAACAGATTTGGTGATCAAAGCAGGAATGAAGCACGATAGGAATCAGATTCGGAGAGACCAGCTGTCGGAAGGGAGAAAAGAGGTCCAACAGACCGGTCACTCGGGGGAGCTGGTAGTTTTGAATTGGCGCCCGCTACTGATCAGGACCCAAGGCAAAGGCCGGCCCTTCCACTGCATGGGATAGATCAGCAAGGTGTAGGTGGGACGAAGCGGAACGAGAGACTCCTACATGTAGCGTGGGAGGGTAGGATGGCGCGAGGTGAGCAGGGCTGTGATAGGTGAGAGGCCGAGTTCCAGGCCGGCGATTCGGTCGTGATGAAAATAGACGCCCACGAGAGTGGACGGGGTGGCACCGGGCTTTGGTTGGCTCGATGCTTCAAGAGACGTCTTTCAATGTCGCCTCCTCCTGGCTGGCGGACAGTGACACGAGCGGAGTCTTTTTTCCCCCGGCGTTTTCTTGAATTGCACGGCGGTTACTGGAAATATCAGGAGATCACAGGGGATACTGAGACAGAGAGCAGGATGCAGTTCTCGAGAGCATAAGCGGAAGCCGAGAGAGGGGGCAAAGATGCTGCGAATAACAGACCTGTGAAGCCAAGAATTGCGCGCATTTCTCAACAAGCGACGAATATAGAATATCGAAAGCAACCCCAAAAAGGCATCCTCGAGAAGGGTAAGGGAGGGAGACAGAGAGATACGCAGAGCAGGAAGCATGCACACTTGCACATCTCCCAGGCTCGCACAGCAACCGGTCTGCCTAGCCTAGGTACGGAAGACTCTCTGGACCGACCTCTCCTCGCCTCGACAAAGCTTACTGGAGCTTGGCGGCACTTGTCGTTGCATTCGCATGGTTCGACGATGCACGCAAGGCCAGTGATTGGACATGGTTAATCAAATTAGGAGGAGGCAGGTCGAGTAGCAACGGACGGACAATGGATGGTGGTTGGACAGAAGACGCAAAGAGGAGAGGTTTGCGGAACCCTTGCTCCTGATTCAACCACCAGCCGGCGCCAACACGTCCAAACCGACATGTCGAACCCTTGTTGCCGCCCGCCTCCCCTGTCGGACAGCTGCAGATGTGATAGGCTCAAGTGCTGCAGGCGCGTTCGAATGCCACCTGCTTGCACTTTGGCGCAGAGGGCTGCGGCCAATTAGATATCAAAAGTGCGTGATGGACGGCCAGCCACATGCAGACTGGGCGGTAAGCAGAAGTTGGATGAATGGGGGAATGGGTAACGTACTGGTTGCCGAAGGGTGGCATGGCGTGGCCTTTTTGGTGAGCCTTTTGACACCTTCCTCGAGTCGCCCGAGCCTTTCTATTCTTGTTTACCCCAAGCCTGAATTGTACCCTTGAGTTGTGATGGTCAGGCATGATCAACGACCACGGGAGCTAAGTGTGTTAGCTCCTTGTGGGTACCCAAACGGTCTTGGTAGTTTGCTTTCTCTTTCCCATGGTACCAGGTGAATGTTCATCTGTGGAGTGAGGGAGTGTGCAGGCTGGTCAGCAAGACGCGCCTTTTGTGATATGGGTGTAGCAACGGCATTCGCCCCCGCTGTCGCCGGCCCCAAAATCTCACGTTGGCCACGGTAGAGCTGGGTGATCAGGAATTGCACTCGCAATCCGTAGATCTGTACGCCTGACCGAGGCGATGACGGCGACGCGGAGAGGACGAGGGCACATCAAGCCTTGTTGTGCGACAAGATTGAGCACGGATGATTTGAAATGTGCTGCCAAAGCAGAGACAATGTCAGTCTCCTCGCGAGCTTGCACCTCGAAAGACGATCCCAACTGGCAGCGATCGACCTTGTAACCCAGCTGGATAAGTGGTGTGAGCTTGAGCTTGGGGAGTACTCTGAAGGCTTGGTCCGTGTCCCGCCTTGTATCGTCTAATACTTTTCATATAGCCCTCCTTCTCCCAGCAAGTTTAGCCCGCATTTGCGAACCTATTTTTTACGGAAATGAACCAACCATACATAAGTGATCCGAGAAGGATGGGTTGCACCGGCCTATTTTTACTCAAATTCGATGTCGTTGTAAAGGGAGACTGACAGTTGCGCATCTTGGTCACTTCCCGGAATCCAATGGCGGAGCTCTTCTACCGAGCGATGGGGATGGCTGATGATAACACCCTAGATATACGTACAGCTTGGAATGTATCAAGAAGGATTCCCCCAAGTCCGTGCAAGTTTATGTTGTCAGGTTAGTACCGCGAAGCCGGAGCCGACGTTCGGGCAATGGTGCATTCTTTGCGACGGAGATGTGGTCTGCTCAAAGGGGGCGACGCTTTGATTTTGCACCATTCGTCTTCGTGATCGAGAGAGGAAGGGTTAGCAACTGTACGGCGCAATCCAGTCCATTTGCTATTCCAACCAGAAACCGACTCTTTAATTTATCTCTCTTAGACCACCGCCTGGGGCGGAGAGTTCTTTCTAGTGAATGACTTTGATGCTTAAGAATCGGTAGACTACACACAAGTCTTTAACTCTTATCCAAGCTGACAAGAACCAGTTGAGACCAAAATATCTCCAAAGTGTGAGTTAGTGCTTGCAGTCTTATTCAAAGTATTTTTCGTTGAGGCCGCGCATGCAGTTGGACATATCATATCGGATAACTCAAGATAATTTCCAAGAAGCATTGGGCAACCAA